GCCTAAGACCGAGCATGGGATCTCTTTTGTATTTGGATTTTGCTTGGGAGGACATTTCTTATAGACGGACAGGTTTCAAATTGGGGTTTATTGGGCGAACTTTGATGAAGACTCATGGACTTGAGCAAGAATGGAACAAACAGATACAGGTTCAATGCAAGAAAGTAATGACCAATGGACACTTAGTGAAACTAACTGTGAATGTTTTCCTGGTTGGCGGGTATGTCTCAGACATGTATCACCTATAATTACTTATGCTTTGAGCCGATGACTCGGATAGCAACCTGCGGTGTCATGCAATCATCTGATCCAAGGATGTCTTTCCCGTCCGACAAGCAGTTAGGAGCAGCGGCAAAACCCTTAGCAAGCACTAACAGTGGGGCTGCCAGCTGAGCACGCGACCCACTCTAAAATTTTAAAATGCGCAGAACGTCCCACCAAAGAATAGCACGACTTTGAGCGAGGGTTAGTGACGTCAACGAGCTCATTTGAGCGTCTCCTCTACGGCCTAGACACTCTCACGGTAGAGAATGGCCGAGTTGACAGAACTCCATCGCAAAATTCGCAACGAGGGCAGCAATTACTATACCGGGCTGCTTCCCATGGGGTTCCCTGCAAATAAGATGCTTAGCTTAGTAGCCGTGTTCCAAGAATAACTCCCACGTCTCTCATCCTGCTCCCGTTCTTACGTGATGGGCGCTGTGGGCGAGGCCCCAACTTCCTAATAATTTCGGACGACGGCTGCTATTGCCGCTAATAATACTCATCACATTCCCCCCACCCAAGTGAGCTTGGCTCGTCCATAATAATATTGATGACAACGATTACCAACGGCAGGTCTCCGAAGTCGTCGGTCCATATTACGACGCCGCTCAGTGCACCAGGCTCAGCGCAGGTCGTGTATACATTAGTAGTAATTCCGCAGTGACACTGCAATAATAAATACTAGTAAGCGGGATTGCAAGACAAGAATTCCGAGACCCTGTCGCGCGACTGTCTGTATTCCTCATCCTGCCGGATCGTTGAAGGCCAGCCCGCAGTAGCTGATCCCAATATAGTAAGGCAGGTAGAGTTGCATTGTGCCAACGGGACTCAACCTTGCACCCCGACAGTCCGACTGACATTCTGTTCTTCCAGCATACAAACTTCGATTCGCTTTTTTGGATTGCGACGACCACGATCGACGGCTCCCGTCTCCGATTTCCCTCAACTACCGAGCGACCTGCCATTCCGACCGCCCTCTCGATCAGCAGATCCTCTCCTCCCCCGCACACACACACACACCTCTCGATCTGCGGTCATAGCTGTCTACCATGGCAACCTCGCCCCCCAGCAGCACGCTCCCTTCGAGGGCAGCGACAGGCCTAAGCGCATACAGCGAGGATAACGCCTACGACTACGATACCACAAGCGTACGTTCCATACACGAGCCCTCTTTGCTGGACCAGGAAGCTCGGCTCGGCGCCAACTAGGTGGGGGAATCTTGCTAACCGGGCTTTTGCAATACAGACAGCCGGCCTTCTGGCGGAACGCCTACAAGCATGGAAGCATGCTGTTGGATATCTCGAGGAGTACATTGGAGTCATGGAAAAACTTCATGGCAAGCACGCCAAGGAGTATGAGCGTGCTCTCAAGGTTGGACTTCCCTCTCCCATTTCTTGTCTCCCGCCGCGGGATGACCGGCTCTCGCACAGCCTTTTCTAACTCCGTTTCCAGACTATCTCGAACCCATTGAAGGAGGGCCACCACTTTGACCAGAGTCTCGGAGGTCTCGCCGGCTTCTTTGAGAACCTGCGCGCAAATACGCAGTCACTGATTAACACGAACATGGAAACGGAAAAGGCCATTAAGAGTTCGGTTCTTCCCGTCCTCGATCGTCTTCACAAGGAAATCAAGGCCAAGTCCAAGGAGCTTGCCAATGGTGCCATCAAGGGGGCCAAGGAGGTTGAGAAGCTTCGTGGCCTCACCCAGAAACAGATTGAGTTCCTCGGCCAACAGACGGCAGCGTATGACGCGGTCAGTGGCAAGCTCAACTCGATTGACGATCCGTACGTACTTCGCCGAGGAGTCCTCTATCGTCTCACCGCGCAGTGCTCCGCTGAGAACAACCACCACAACGACCTCGTTATTGTGCAGCACAACTTTGCGACATTTGAGGCGCGCATCATTTCCATCATTCAACAAGCGATGGAGCAGTTCACCACGATTTGCGGCGGGCAGGCAGACAAGACCCGGGCTCTGCACACCGACATGTTGAACGCAATCCAGCATGTGCCGCTGGAGTTTGAATGGGCCAACTTCACCGTCCGCTACGCCGAGCGTCTCGCTCAGCCCAACGAGCCGCCTCGCTCCATTGACCAAATCTCCTTCCCTGGCCAGGCACACGAGTCGACGGTTGCAGTAAAAGAAGGCTCGCTGGAGCGAAGGTCGCGAAACAAGCTCTCTTGGGGCTACACAACCAACTACTATGTCATCACACGAGCTCGCTTCCTGCATCAATTCAAGGATTCCGAAATGATCAAGGACGAACCCAAGCCAGAGCTGAGTCTCTACCTTCCCGACTCCGTTGTTGGCTTGCCAACCGGTGACAAGTTCACAATCAAGGGCAAGGACAGGAGCAGGACGGTCAGCAGCAAGCTCACTGGCACAGCCGAGATCAACTTCAAGGCCTCCAGTGCCGATGATGCCCAGAAGTGGGTTCAGGTACTCTCGAGCCTCATCGTTGCTCCAGATAAGGAGAGCCCCGCAACGCCTGGAGTAGCAACGCCCACGTCAGCAAAGTCCGGATCGCCCAAGGCCCAGAAGGAGGCAATCACCCCTCCACCGGCATCGAGCCCCGTCGACTCGCATCAGGCGCAGGAGGCGGGCGTCACTGAGGCTCCCGCAGCATCGGCTAAGCCTACTGTGGCTGCAGACTCAAAACCGGCTACTGCAGATTCAAAGCCTTCTGCAGACACAAAGACCCCTGTTGCGGAGAGAGCGGTGGACACCAAGTCTGAGCTTCAATAGGTGAGGCGGACGACGAGTTCGGTCTACTGTGCAAGGCTGCCCAGGGATGGGCGCCCGAGGGTCCCGATGTGAGATATAGCGGCTGCAGGATGTTTCTGATTGCGCGGCAAGGCGTTTTTTTGATGGGATTGGTGGCTTGTGATTGGGGTTCTTCTTCTTCTTCGTCTAGTATGCTACTTACTTTTTTTTTAACGAGAGAAACATGAAACAGACAATGGGCCAGAAAGAAATAAAAAGAATTAAGCATAATCACGGGTTATGTAAGTTCCCTCGGAGCTCTCTGAGCACAGTCCAACCCAACATCCCAAGCAACGATTTGGCTCTCTCATCACATCGACCGCATCGTGCTACTAGGCCTCCCTGGTCAGAACTTACTCTTTTGTGCTCGATCGACGCATGACCCGAAACAAGCCGTACGGCAACTCAACACCCACGTAGCACCGTATCTGCCTCCCACCCTCCATCGACGCGGGTGAAACGTGATGTAAGCCTCGCCTTGGCTGTCGTGCGACACGACACGACTCACATACCACCAGCTCGTGCGGGGGAGGCCTGAGTTCCCTTCCCGACACAATTGTGCGGTAAGGGAAACGGTGACAACCAGCCCGTCAGGCAAACCATGCGAACCATGCGAACCACGAGCAGAGCCTCATCCCATTGCGCCTGGAATGCAAAGGCAGCGGAAATGTGGGGTAGAGCCTGCAGCATGATCCCCAGCCGGCCTCAAAATCGTCCCTTCAGGCTGAGACAAACAATGTTGACATAGCCTCACTTACCGAAGCCAAGGAGCCAACCACGGACGCAGCACGGTAAGAAAACGAACGGACAGCGCAACCCAGCCCAGTTCCAAGAGGGGATCTCGCGGGCGGCTTGGGCCCCAATCGTACTTATGTACCGTCGTTGGTCTCTGCCACGCTCCTCCCTGGGTGGGTTCTGGATCAGGGCCGCAGATCGAGGCCGCTCGCCTATGCAGGAGGGTGGGTGGGAGGCCCTTCGGGTGTTTTTTTTTTTGCTGGCTACTTCCCCAACTTGGGTAGGATCATTGCCCGGCAGGAATGTGAGTCGACAGGTTGCAGTGCCTGGGCTCCATTATTGTTTCTTTATTCCATCGTCAGTTCTCATATACAACCTTACCATGCGTGTGCCGTCCGCACACCAGTCGGGCATGATTTCTGTCTTAGATGCCTCCCCTCCCACGGATCGCGAACCAGCGAGGCCAGAGAGGGAAGCCGGGAGCTGAAAGGTGCACTAGTCTCGGATACAGCCAATCTCTCGCCGTCCTCCTCTCGAGCCGCCGGTTTTCCCAAATAGTTTTGAGAGGTATCGGCATGGCACAGCAGCTTAAGCGCTGATGGGAAGGCCAACCAGGGGAGCTGAATCGGGACGGATGAGGGAAGAGGGGGGGAGGCAGGGAAGCTCTAATACACAAATTCGTAGAATAGGTTCACCATCCTTGTCTTTGTGGCGTCGTCGCCCATCTGCAGACTGCTTTCACCCTTCATGGAGCCTTGTTCATGCTTGCCGTCCTGCAGCTTTTCGTAGCATTCCCTCTTCCCCAGCCCTTGCTGGCTTGTCTCTCCTCCCCCCCTCCTCCCCTCACTCAGCCATGTACCGTGTCTGTTTTGAATACGTCCATATGCCGCCTCACTTATCTCCCTCGGGTAGCGGTCTGGTAACTTTAAGGCTGTCCCTGGTTTGTTCATAAATAAGTGCCCGTCCGGACCCCAGACACCCCTCTTCCCACCGCGTAGCTTAGAAGAAGAGGAAAATAAGATAAACTTGTAAGACCAACAACTCGGTCATTCATAAGCCTTTCTTTCATAAGGACTAGACCAAGTCATAGCCACAATACACTTTTGTTCCCCCCCCTTACCCCTGGATTCCGGGAAGAAGAAAAAACCAGGCCAGCCTTGTATACCAGGATCACTTGGAGACCACACGCCCCGTCCCAGAAGCCATCACCAAGCACCCTCGCCAGAACGCCGCGCAGCATGACAAAGCCATGGGACAAGAACCGCAAGGAGATTGTCAGGCTGTACATCCGCGAGGGCCGGACGCTCCAGGAAGTCAAGGGCATCATGAAGGCCAAGCATAACTTTGATGCATCGTGCGTTTTTTGACCCTCCCACCTCAATTCCTTCCCGAGGGCAGAGGATACTTTATAAAGAAATAAGCAAAACAGGCTTGCTGACTTCTCCTTCTTTTCGGTAACAATAGTATACGTTCATACCGCCAGTGGTTCGACAAGTGGGACGTGACCAAGTACAATTGTAAGAAGCGCCAGCAGCGCCGCCGGATGCTGCAGCAGTACATCAAGCAGGAAGCATGTGACGACCGGTGCGGTAGCCCGACGCTCGACTCATCCCGCCTCCCCAACCCCAAGGGACTGCCGACCGTAACCAGCCAGGACCAATTGACCGGTGAGAGTAAGCCCCAGGACGCGGTCGCCGAAGCCGCCAGCCTGCCCCTGCCCAAGGTCGAGGTCAGCCAGAACCGCAACGTCTCTCCCCAGGAGGCGGATGCTCCCTGGTACAAGCCCGGCCCGAACCGCCAGTGGGATGTGACCAAGCTCAACCAGAGAAAACGCCAGCCGCGCCGCAAGCTGCCACAGCAGCAGCACATCAAGCAGGAGGCGTACACCGGCCTCCAGAGCCCACCGCTGGACGCCCGTCTCCCGTACTCCAGGCAGGTCGACACCCAGGATACATTGACCAGTGAGCGCAAGCCCCAGGACCCGATGGCCGGAGCCGCCAGCTCGCCCTCACCCAAGACGGAGGAGAACTACGGCCTCTCTCCCCAGGCGGAGGCCACCTGGCCCAGGCACCGCTGCCAGGAGGGAGCCTATGCCCCAGAAATCCCTCGGTAGAGACCGTCCGCTTTTCCATGCCCGCATACCTGTGCTAACTCTGGGCTCCAGGTACCAAGGACCAGAGTACTTCGGATACTCTACCCCGAGATACACTGAGCCGTTCGTCTTCACACTCTCGGACAAGCCTGCCTGGCACTACCATGATGGTCGGGTCAATCCGTCTTGGGTGGACCTGTCTCCGTCGTCGTTGGAGTATGATCTCAGTGTCGGATCAGACACGCCAGGCATATATGAGGGTGGGTCGGCCGCTGTCGAATTCGCTGCTCAGTCTCGAAATAGTACTGCGGCAGATAGGGATCTCATTAAATTGTAATGTTAGAGTCAAAGGACACAGAGCACCGAAATAATGAGTAATGAATATTGAAAGTTTTGTTTTATTTTTCCACTGTTTCTATTTTTGGTTGGGAGTACCGTGGCATCTGCTCTGAAGTTAAAGCAACATGTGCTCATAGGGTAGAGAGTGGACCGTACGACATCATGCACACATACGACAATATGCCTTACCTCTTAGGATGTCAGCCCATCCAGTTAAGCAGATACTTTGGTGTCTAAATATTTCCAAGTCAGCAACAGAATCATAAACCTGTTCGACAAGAAAATAGTGGAGATAAAGGTGTATCAGGTAATTTAATGCCTTGTCAAAGGCGGTTTCGTCAAAGCAATATGGCTACGTTGACCGTCGTGATATTTGAATCATCATGAGGGAGAAAGAGAATGTGCAAAGATATAACTTACCAGAAATAGTCCCGTCTCAAGCGAGCAACGTTGTGATCAAGACCTTGGAAATACTTCGACGGATCAGCGACATGATGACACTGGATATCATCGTGTAAAAGATGGTCGATGTGGTCAATCAGATAAATAGAATAAATGTGTCTTCGTAGCGTGAAGCTCAGACATATGCTTGTCTTTGTTTATTCGTGCTCATCAGGACGCTCAATGTGAAAATTTTTCTGTCTTACCTTGCGTGGCTACATATCGTCCAAGGCTGGCTTTTCTCAGTCGTTAGCATCTCTGGACAGTTCAAAGAATTAAACAACAAAAGGATGTAATGCAATGGTCAGGTAATGCATGAATGGTATAAATAAGATAGTGTCTGCATCGGAAACCCGAATAAGACTCGTCATCTGTGTCATCATAAGATGCAGGATGAAATAGGAGACGTTCGTGTCACTTACCACAATGAAGATCAATACCATCTCCAGACAGTCAATGAAATACAAGACATGTGTTTACACTATCACAAGTATGTCAGCATACTTGCGTAGTCAAGGCTTGTCAAATGAGACGGGTTGTAGAGTTCAAGATCAGTGGGCGAGGTTTTCTAGGCCTGCCGCAAAGTGGCTTCTCTTGCTCATGCGTTTATGTTCGGAGCCCAGTGCCGCTTCATCATGTTGAGGGACAGGTGGTTGTCAAGGGACGATGAGTCGCATACCTTTCTAATACTTGTCTCATGTTAGCCAGCATGTTCAGGGTCAACAAATAGACAATTGAAGTGTGAAAATTTTTCATAATCAGACATAGCCATTTTATATCGTCAAAGAAGTTCAGCCGGTAATTTCCAGCGTATATATATACGAAATGATCATCATGGAAAGGGGAGGACGTAGGGAACTGCTAGCTTACCATTTGAATAATCACATGGCGCATGCGCGCGCACCCAATGGCTCACATTCAGGTCATTGTGACTCGAGCTGATCTATTGTGTCTTTGGTTAGCAAGTTGCGACCAACACAAGTGCCATTTGCTGCCAAAGTGTGATGTGTAGAATTCTTTCAGACTGACGTGTAAAACTAGTTTCATTCCAATAGGTCAAAGACTCTAGTTTGCGGTTTACAAGTGTCATCAGGAAGTAAGGGAGAAGGTGCAGGAAGACCAGGAATTGGCATTGACTTACCACCAGAAGGATGTTGTGCTGGAAGCTTGTTGTGTAGAAGTAAAGAAGGAAAAAAATTTCAGGAACGGCAGCTCCAAGAAAAGTGCATGTGGTGGGGAATAATTTATTAGCCTTATGTAATCAAGTCACGGGACTTCGCGTCGTTGACGTGCCATCATCTTGAACACCGGAGCAACCCTATACCACCCATTCCCCTCAAGACTGTCGGATTAAATTTGATTGCAGTGCCATAAAAGTGAATTAAAATGCCTGAAATTGCTGAGGGTATGGTGCTTTGTCTTTTTTTAATACTCTTATACGGCGTATTGCTCACACATTCTTAGTCGCGAGGATTGTCCATTTCCTTAAGCTCACGCTGGTTGGTAAGCGCATTGCTCAAGCTTCTGCCATTGATGACCCCAATGTATTCGGCAAGGTGGGCACGACAGGTGCCGACGTGGCGGCTGCGTTAAACGGGAAGAAGGCAAGTTTTCCTCCTCTGGCACCCATCATCCCAATGTCTAATTCCCGAAAGTTAAACAGGTCATATCCGCCGGTAGCCAAGGTAAATACTTTTGGTCAGTCCCCCTGACCCCAAGCGCGTCAGATATTGAAGCTGATTCCCGGAAAGGCTCACATTAGAGAAGCCCCCGCATCTGGTGATGCACTTTGGCATGACTGGTAGATCACATCCTCAGTCCCCTGCTTGGTAGGCAGTATGTTCTAATCTACCCCTCAGGATGGGTCCATATTAGGGGTGAAAAAACGGCCTACACAAACTACTACAAGAAAATGAAAGAATCGGACCTCGAACAATGGCCACCAAAATTCTGGAAGTTCCAGATCACCACTGAAGGGGAGCCCGAAGTCGAGGTAGCCTTCACAGATGCCCGCAGGTTTGGCCGTGTTAGGCTGGTAGATTGCCCCGGCGATGATATCCGGAAGCATTCCCCCCTCGTGGAAAATGGCCCCGACCCCGTCGTCGATAAGGATCGGTTCACCGAGGAATACTTGCAAAAGAAGATGAAGACACGTCACGTGCCGATCAAAGCACTCCTCCTGGACCAGACCATGATCAGTGGCATCGGCAATTGGGTTGCGGACGAGACTCTCTATCAATCCAAAATCCACCCAGAGCAATACTGCGACGACTTCAACGACGAGGAAATCAGCACGCTTTATGAGAACATCTGCTACGTTTGTCAGACAGCTGTGGACAAGCTGGGCGACTCGGACGAATTCCCAGACCACTGGTTATTTAACTACCGATGGGGGAAGGGGGCCAAGGACACAGCAACTGAGCTCCCCAATGGTGAAAAGCTGGCCTTCATTACAGTTGGGGGCCGCACCAGCTGCTATGCTCCGGGTGTACAAAAGAAGACTGGTCGTATTGCGCCTGGGGTGAAAAAGGAACCAGTGGAACCGGCCAAGAAAGACCCGACCAAGAGGGGATCAGTCAAGAAAGAAGCTCCAAAACCAAGAAAACCCTCGCGCAAGGCCCCACAGAAGATCAAGGATGAAGAGGAGTCGGATGAAACCGACGCCGAACCCCCCAAGAAAAAGATAAAGAGCGAGGCTCCAGATAAGGGTAAGAAGAAACTATCAACGGTACCCGAAAAGATACAAGAGGCTCCGGCTGAGGGTCGGAGACGATCCACGCGATTATCAGGAAAGTCAGGCGACGCGCAGACGTCGAGTTATTGGTGAGAGCTCCAGGAATCAATTGACTAGGAGTGGTACTTGTGCATGGACAGGGGCTGGCGGCGGAATTTATTTGAAATCTCAGATGGAATTTTGAGCTTGCGGACAGACTTCCGTGTAGCTCGTCAAATCTTTTAAAAGTACCAAACTAATCAATGCTGGACTGTAATGATATCTTAAACACCTAATTTTCCCGTCATTATTTTCATGCCGATGCTCTAAAAACCACTGGCTCTATAAATGACCTGTTAAACGCCGTGTCTTGTATGTGCCTATGCTGCAAGCTCAGCGTGATGCCCAGGCTTTATGCCCAGGCGTTATGCAATACCTTATACTAACTCAAAATAACGTCTCGAAATGCCCTCATATATAATCATAACCATCCCCCTCATATAGCTGCACCAAATAGTGCGATGAGACCGAGCGAGCCGATGCGTGTCCTCTAACTAGGACGTGCCGCTCGTGGATTCATTGAAGGGGTATCAATAACTTTAAGGCCAAATTGGCCATACTCGCAATTCTTGGTGAAAGAAATTTAGTAGAAGTGTAGCTGAAAGGGTGATGAGACTGCTGAAGAGAAACAACCATCAACTATAACAATTCAATACTGGGAACGTCACTCCTCGTCTTCGCATTGGAACCCGACGGAAAATTGACGTCCATGTAATTGAATTGGAATGACGGTGAGAAAATTGGTGAAGGGTTGCCCATTCTTCTTGTAGTTGCAGATCCTGGTCTGTATTTCTTGCTGGGCGTAAACAGCTTGGCGCAGATGTTGGAGAGCTGCCTTATTTGCGGCAGCCTCAGCGCGTGGTGCAGGCGGACTGCTGGGGCCAGGGTTTTGGAGGAAGCGGCAGTTCTGGCCAAGAATTTCGGGTTGAGAGTAGCCAGTCAATTCACAGAAGGCATCGGAGGCGTAGACGATTGGCATGTCGGGAAGCTCAAGGTCGCTTACAATAACGGCCACCGAGCAATCGACAGGGCCCAGATCGACACTGGGGTGTGGGCGGCCTGTGACTTGCAGCTGCAACAGTGTGGTTAGTAGTCAGCCCCACGGTTCAGAGGGCAGAGTTGTGAGATGCAAACGAACCAGAATAGACATCAAATCAAATCCAGTGCCCGAATATAGGCCTGGGTAAATGAGATCATCCCGAACGGGGGAGTTCGAAGAGGGTGTTTTGGGAACAAGGTTTTGTTCTGGCAGAGAGTACTGTTGACAGGTAGCATGCAAGGTCAGCTATTGAGCAAGGCAAGGCAAGGTACAGGGGCAGGGGAGGACCAACGTTGAGGGCATGGGCCTCCCATGAGTTGACTGGCGGTACCGCTTTGAAGGCCATGATGTAAATCGGTGGTGTAGTGTGGTGTAGTGTAGATTGGTGAATGATGAAGCTTGGAGTTGAGTGCAATGAAAGATTCTTTTGTAGGGGCGGACCAGTGGGTTTTTGACAACGATTTAAGCCAGCTCCGGGATCGAGATGACAACAATCACACCAGGTTGTTTGTCACGATGCGTTCCGGGTGTGGCTACGAAGTCGTCGTCCACTGAGTCGGGGCTGACGGGGCATTGGTCCAGAACCAGGGAACTATTGAGCAGGATTTCAACACCAGATGCTACGGTAGCACGCCGAGAGCGAGAGAAAGATAGGACTGCTGATGATATTGTGATATTGACAAGGGCCAGACTCCGGAGGTCAGTCCGGAATGTGTATCGAGGATGCGTCTGGTCATGCGTCTTACAGCAGGAGGGAGCCCAGTGGTACACGTAGGGTGAGGTGCCAGGGCGTTGCTTGCATATGCTTGCTCGCTTCGGAAGTCAGCGACTCACACCCACGCAATGGGAATAGTTTGCAAGCGCATTGGTGTGATCGCGAGGGCTGTCAGGGTCTCTGGCGATCGAGGATTGGGTAGCGGGGCAGCTGGTGGCCGTTGAAAGCAGAGCAAAAAGTGCCCTCCGAAGAGGCTGAAGCCATTGAAAGCAGAAGGCCCATCGTGTAATTGGGACCGTGATCGAGAAACACCAGCACTCGTACTAGTGGGAATCTTCGATGGCAGCCGATGCGTGGCGACGTCAAGCCATTGACATGGGAGACATGGGGCGGGCGAATTAGAGGCGGCCGATGGCGGGAACTGGGCCCTGATGGGACGATCGAGGCACGATGGCCATCCAGGCCTTGCCCCTTGCGATCACAGGTTTTGGGGAGGCGATCGGCACGCCAGTTGAGGTGTGTCACTTGGCAGCAGCACGCCCCGCTGTTCCTGCAAGTGCCGCCCCGAGGTGGAGGGCGGCCAGGTCGAGGACGGAGCCGTGGTTGGGCTCGACGGCTCCCGACAGCATTGAGCCACCTCTGGACAAGAGACAGCAGGTTTTCAGGGTCCCGGGGCGGTGGAATTCAGGCCATGTGGAGCTCGTGATGGGCAAACCGGAATCCCATCGCGCCCATCATGTTGCTGTCATTGTGGCAAGACGCCCGAGCTAGGAATTGCCCGTTGTCAGTGAGCCACCCACGCAACTAGTCCCCATGCGCTCGTACAGTATGCCAGCAGGATCCTAAATCTGCAGACGCGGGAGGCAGTCTAGCAGTTACCGCGCACATCTGAATCCCAAGCCAATAGCGGAGCGAACTATGGTCTGGTCTAGTTGCTTCACGATGGCTACTGGCTTGAGCGTACATCGATAACCACTCCTGCCCATGCAAGGATTCCCTTCTGTCTTAGGATACGCCTCTTCTTTGGCTGATCTGACTCTTTGCCCTGGCACACCGATTGACGCTCATGACCGAAACATCCTGAGCCATGACTCTTGCGACCCGCTGCTGCATGAGGCGACGATCGTGCCAAAGCTCAGCCATCGTCCATATTGTAGATCGAGGTCTCGCTGCGGCCTCGAATTTTCAATCATATCACGACCGAGTATGTCTCATCCGGAGTCGCAAAGGTGACCTGATTCATGGCGTTGAGGTAATCTAGAACGAAATTGCATACAGGAATTCCATTCGGAATGCATGCAGCTAGCCTAACACCGAGATCTTGTGGCGCTTGATGAGGCACGTCCCAACATTAGGCAGTACCACCTGCAAACTTGTTGATCCCCATCAATTGATATGTAACCACATCCCGTTGTGTCTGCGGAGGAAGTGAGAGGGTGGTTGCAGTCAAGTGGCACAGCTTGCCCCGCCATCACCAAAGGAGTTCCATGTGATCAGGTAGGTAAGGACTGGAATTACTGCCCGCAATTTGGGTTTATGAAACACAACACAGTAGACTTCACAAGAAAAGGTAGAGTTAGGGTAAGAAGAGTGTTTTTGGATCTCGGAGTTGATGAATGTGGTGCTTCTGCGGATGGTAAAGCAATAGATAATGGTTTAGATAGGTACGGTGATTAGCAAACCTATCGCTGGGTCTGTGGTGCGATAAGGATATTTCAAGGCTTGACACGTCCAACGCGTCTTCCACCAATTCACTTCCACCCCCGCATCGCACACTTGCATCCCACCACAATTCTCGCCGATCAACGAAACCCTGACTGAAGCGCATAAGATCGGGGTTTGTTTCACTTATTATTGTCGCATCCCAACAACTAAGAATTCTGATTGCTCTGTTGAACAGCCACCGCCCTTGTGACGCAACACGGCCGTACATCCATCTAAAACCGAAGGCACTATAGCCAATCCGCACCAGGTGAAAGGAAATACGGCGAAGAACAGAGAGGATTCCAAATGTCCCGCCATCGTACCCGGCCTGGTACATCGGCCCCGTCAGCGTCTGGCAGCCAAGCGTCCAGAGGCTCCGGTTCCCTCACCGAACTTGTCTACGATCCGCCTTCCTTTCCACTCAATCGAACAGCCTATTCATTGCTTGGCGACCTCTCCCGTTCTCAGGAAACAACATACAAGAACCAGATCCGCGGCTCGCTACATGCGTTAGGCCACAGCGTTTATGACTTGCAGGATCGTCTCCAAACCCAGCGTCAACGGTTACAGCAGTTGCAAACCCGCCGAGAGGAGCGTGGGACCGTGTCTCCCGATGAAGCTCGGCTCACTTCCCACGTTCAAAGCCTTGAGCGGCAGGTGGACCGACTTACCAATCTTGCCGAGGCTGCAGTGCGAGACGTCATCGATCAAAGAACAGAGCTGGAGGATAATGGCACTGTACTCGACAAGATCTACCAGGACGCTCAAAAGGACCCGGGTAACACGAATGGTGCGGTAACTCGCCGGCAACGTCGTGCCAATGAGACTGCAGAAGAGGCGGAAGAAGAGGATAATGATAATATGGATGAGGACGAGATTGAACAGCCACCGCCGAAGAGCATCTTGGTCACATACAGGGAAGAGCGGATCGCCAAGAAGGATGATCACACTTCCATGGACATGTACCGGCGGTATGGCCTGGAAAATGACTATAATGCCTTCAAGAAACTATGGCACAGTGGCATGGCTGGCCAGGACGGACCGCCACTCCCCGATCCAAGCAAGTGGTTCCGTGCCGACGGGACTCCAATCATGGGCACATCGATCGAAGAGCTTTCCGGAGAAAGCGCCATGGATGATGACATAGCTGTTGCTCGTGAGGTTATCAGCCTCACCTGCCCACTATCTCTTCGACAGTTGGAAGAACCCTACAGCAACCATAAGTGCAAGCACACATTCGAGAGGAGTGCTATCCTCGATTACCTCAACGGATCAAGAGGCCCGCAACAATGCCCACAAACCGGGTGTTCACAGGTATGTTCCCCATGACACATCCCACCCTCGTACGAGTACTAACATGTTTACAATAGACGTTTAAGAGATCGGATTTCGCTACAGATTTCTACCTTGACGAAGTCATTCTTCGCCAGATTCAACGTGCTAAGCAGATGAATGAAGATTGCGAGATGAATGTTGACTCTGATGATGATGTTCGGGACCAGTCAGTGATAGCTGGCCCTGAGCGTGTGTTACGAAGAGGAGTAAAGAAGGAGTTGGCTGATCGCTCCAAAAGAGAACCTCTTTGAGTGATGGCGATAGTAATAATAACATGATACCCCAGGCCCAGATGCTTTCTTCCCACATCCTTCGTTACATGCACCTATCGGGCACTCAATTCGCACCAACACATTCAACCATGAGACGCTCGCCTCATTATGCATTATGATATGTCTAGTATACAGCTGAAGTGTACAGCCCGAACCAGTCGGGTTCGTTTCACAGCGCCCCCAAAATTCTCCATATAGAAGCAATATTGGTACAATTGCCAGTCATCTCTTCGCCCTATCCATCCTCAGGGAAAGTCCCTTCTCACAGCAAAGAAGTAGTTTCCAACCTTTTCACTGCCACGGACTTGCTTCCATCCGAGCCCTGGGACGTACATGACTCCCATCACTCGAGGGCTATTCCAGCCCTTGTCCATGAAGAACCGGCGAAGCTCGTCCTCGTCGAGATACTTGTTCCAGTCATGGGTGCCCTTGGGCACGATCTTGAGGATATCCTCCGCAATCAGGTTCGTAGTGAGCCAGCTCATCCACGTCCTCGCGATCGTGCTCATGACCAGCCAGCCCCCGGGCTTGACAAACGGCTGGACCTTGTCCAGAAAGGCGCCGGGCTGGTCAATGTGCTCAATCACCTCAAACACCGACACGACGTCGTAGCCCTCGCCCTCCTTGGGCGCCTCCAGCTGCTCGATCGAGCTATTCCGGTACTCCAACTTCCGGCCGAGGCCTGGATCCTTGCGCGCGTGCGCCTTGGCGACGGCGAGGACGGAGGGGGTCGGGTCGATGGCGAGGACACTCCGGGTGGAACGCAGGCGGGCGGCGCTCTCAGCGAAGATGCCGCCTCCGCATCCGATGTCTAGGTACGAGAGGGTTTCATTGCGGGGTTCGGGCTGCGAATCGAGGCACGCGTTTATGAAATCATGACGTAGGGGGTTCATCAGGTGAAGCAGTCGTGAGGAGCCATGGGGATCCCACCACTCAGAGGCGAGCTCGGCGAAGTGGGAAACCTCCTCTGGGTTCACCGAGGAGAAGGATGGGTTCGGGTTGGAGGTCGAGTGACATCGCGAAGGGAGCGCCACATGGGCGGGCCGAAGAATTGTCGGTGCCTGTCTGGGGATGGCGAGCTGTGTCCGAGGCAGAATTCTCTTCGGTATCGTTCGGAGTTGGGTTGCCACTGACCGAGATGTGGGAGCCATGGCGGTGGTGTTATGGACTGGACGGATGTCTGCTCTTGGGGCAACAAAATCCCGAATCTGGAGTTCGCTCGGAAGCTGGATGAGGATTAGCCTGGCCCGGGGCCCTGGTATCGATAGGAATGAATGAATCAGTTGGGATATCTACCTACCCTAAAGCTTGAGGCGTGGTGGATGACCAAGCAAATCAAGAGACAGGCAGTTTGTCAGCGCCAGTCAGCACGCTGAGCCGGTGTCTAATCTCTATTAGCTTCCAAACTACCCTTTGCAAATTCATACCTGGACTCTCAAATTAAAAACAACATGTGTTTGCATAGAGAGCGGTCCCTGCTTATATAATAACCGCGCGTTCATATGCGAGGATGATCAATTGAGGTGGAATACCGGCAGTGGCCGAGACCGAGGGATACCGGCTTCTCCACACCCTCTTGGAGGCAATGCAGTTTTGGCCTAGAACCCTTGTGATCAAGACCCCGATGTCGCCTTGGCGTGCCTGGTTGTGACTCTGCATCTTCGGGTTTCTTTTCTTTTCTGCGCTGTCTTTTCCATCATCTGCCTTCTCCTCTCTCCAACCTTGTGTCTGCTGGTATAATTCGCTTTGACGATAAGGGTTGTTCAATAGTTCAATTGCGCCATTCTCGTTCCACCCAGGACCCTTCCCACATCCGCTGCCCCTCCACTTCAATTCCGGCGGGGTTCTGCACAGTAGATCTGTCGCCAGCTTTCTTCCGGCGACAACCTCTCTTCTCCAGGACACAGTCCCAGTGCGCCGCCGTAACACAATTGCCTCCAAGATGCCTTCCTCCACGCTAGACCAGAGTCAATTCGACTCCATCCCCTCCTGCATCGAGTCCTTCAGTAGGTTTCCGCGGTTCCGAACACCCAAGCCGCAGTCAGACGCTAACCGAACCGCCCGGGTGTAGAGAACGGTGAATTCCTCGTCGTCCTCGACGACCCCTCCCGCGAGAACGAAGCCGACCTCGTCATCGCCGCCGAGAGCATCACCAAGGAGCAGATGGCCTTCATGGTCCGCCACTCCTCCGGCCTCATCTGCGCCCCCATCAGCGCCGCCCTGACGGAGAAGTACGCCCTCCCCCAGATGGTCGCCAAGACCGAGGACCCCCGCGGCACCGCCTACACCGTCTCCGTCGACGCCTCCCACGAGTCCGTCACCACCGGCATCAGCGCCTACGACCGCTCCCTCGCCTGCCGCACCCTCGCCGACCCCGCGGCCACTGCGGCCAGCTTCCGGAGGCCTGGTCACGTCCTGCCCCTCCTCTCGCGCCCCGGCGGCGTCCGCATCCGAAGGGGCCACACCGAGGCCACCACCGAGTTCTGCCGCCTGGCCGGCAAGGTCGAGGCGGGCGTGATATGCGAGCTGGTGGACGACGGGCAGGTCGTCCCCGGCCGGGCCATCCACACCGACCCGGGGATGCTGCGCGGCGAGGCCTGCGTCGCCTTTGCCAGGAAATGGGGGATCAAGGTCTGCACCATCGCGGACCTGGTCGACTACGTGGAGAAGACGGAGGGGCCTCTCCAGCTCAACGGGTCTGGGGAGTAAGGCAGAGGCGACTCTGGAGGGCGGGTTACCACGGAGAGGAAAGCTTCAAAAAAAGGATTAGAAAACCAGACAGAAAGGACGTAAGTAGTCAGACTGATAGACTGACAGAGACAAGGGGTCAATAGGCACGGTTCGGCGTTTTTTTTGTAAATGCTGTAGATTTATCATCACTCACCTCGATACGATTTATATCCTGTTTGGGTGAATATGCAAGTGGGAGGCTGCCACATGGACAGCTAGACACTTGAGATCTAGAGGACCCGATAATTCATGCAATGGGAAAGTCAATGTAGTTAACAATTTTCCAACGTGATGAAGTATGCTTATTCAAAACCCTATCTAGACAAAGTCTTTATGCCAATTCTCATAATTTTGGTGGAAATACACTCCGGAACGCCATGGCTAAATGATAATGGCATAGAATGCCCTGATGCCCCGGAGAGGGGGGAAGGGGGAAAAGAAAAACCCCAACTTATACACTTTTCATAGTATGTAGACTGATATATGTAATGTGTGTGGACACATGTGTGTATCCAATTGACATCCATCACGGTGAACGTTGAGGTTCCTTACCCGGATAGCTTTGAACGAAAAAAAGTTCCAGACTGGAATGACTGTTTTAGGCCATGAAGTCTTCCTCAATATTGGCACGATTGCCCGCGTTGTTCAGGGTAAGCTCAGCGGTCCTCTTGAGAAGGTCGTCGGCCTCCTGTGCCGCCTCACTTCCCAGAAGAGGCTCGCCCTTGGAATTGGAGCGGACTTGAACCTTCACCTCCCCCAAGATGCCGTCCACTCGGATCGTAGATACAGTCGTGCCACCAGGCGGGGGCTTCAGATTGGGCTGCGGCGCAAGACTGACGAGCTCGCGGAAGAACGCATTGGCGGTCTCACAGCCATCCAAGAGCCACTTGAGGCAGATGGTAACTCGCTCCTTGGCGAACGGGTTGTGGTCGTCGTAAGCGCAGCAATTCAACAAAGGCACGATGCCATTCCATTGAACAACCTGGAGCTGAACCTTTGCGTTGCCGGGGCTGCTCTGGCCTGCTGGGGGCTGAAGCAAAGTAGCAAGAATTGTGAACAGCTGTCCCTTGATACCAGCCCAAGGGAACTTGTGTGCAGGTTCCTGCAGAGGTGGCGGGGGTGGTGATGGGGACCGACTTCCACTGCCTGTAGCGTATGGCCGTTCAACCATTGGGTTGCTGTCACCACCATTGCCCTTGTTCTTGCTATTTCCATTTTGTCCTTGTGGTGTTCTCCTTGGGAGCTCAACGAGCGGTTTCTTCAGCACAGCGGCTTCCAGCCCGTTAAGAATCACCAAAAGGTCATAGACTGCTTCCCAGTCGATCAACTCATTTCGGGTGTCCTGCGACTCGGCAACGGTAGTCAGGAAATCAAGGTACTGCGCCAATCCGTCTCTCGCCCTCTCCATATCCCATGTGTCAACTGGGAACTCTGCGGGATCGCAATGCCCTTCTCGAATCTGTGCTTGGAGATGCATCAACGCAGCACACTCAGGCACAATTCTGGTGCGGAAAATGCCGAAGAAAAAGTGCATCAGCTTAATGTCTTTTGAATCTTCAGACTTTTGGCCTTGAGGCACGGTTGCGTTTGCTCGTGCTCGGAACATGTGGTTGACCAATCTTAGCAGAACTGTTTGGGCAGGAGAAATGATATCCTTGGGGATTCTCAAGCCGTTCCACGCATATGGGATCAGCGCGCTGTGGTGAATGGCCTCCACAATCTGCGTCGTCACCTGGAAGATGAGGGATTGCTCATCCTTTTCCCAGACAGCGATGAACACGAGCATCTCACGAAGCAAGCTCTTCCCACAATCCAAGGCGAGGAACATCCGACAGCGAGTCTTTTGCAGATTTTCTCCGGCCCTGGTCAAGCCGCAGCCCGCATTGTCCAGAATGCAGGATTTGACAATCATGTGGAGCGCTTCGATTTGCTTGGGATCCAGAATATTAGGTATCTCGGTCAAAAGACCAGTCAAGGGGCCGTCTCCATAGGACTCATCATCATCTGCATCCTCATCATCGATCATGTCGTCCACATAGTCATGTGGGTAGTCATGGTCGTGATGATGGTGATGGTGATGATGATGATGGTGATGCGGGCAGTCCAGATCATGTTCATCGCTTTCATGCCCGTGGTCGTGGTCGTGGTCGTGATCATGGTCATGGTCATGCCCGTGGTCATGGCTGTGATCGTGCGAGTCATCATGGTCCTCATCCTCATGATGGTGACACTCGTGACACTCAGGGCAGTGTTCAGTATCTGAATAATCGGCCTCTGCGACTACCGAAGGAGGAGAGTGCTCGCCTTGGTAAGAGTGAGCATATCGGTGCACGATGTTTTGCTTGCAATGATCGAGACGCGATTTCGCGACTTCGGTGGTGGGCATTCCGACAATGTATTGATCGTAATTGGGGTCACGAGCCCGTAGCCACCATGTGTCAATCTCTCTCGAAACTCTGCCGTAAACCTTGTCTTGCTCATACTTGTCGGACTCGTCCGGGTTCCATACCGGGCTGATCTTTTCCTCGGGTTTACCCACTGAGTCAATGTCCTCCGGGACCATATCGTCAGGAAGCCAATTCCATGCCAAGGGTCTGATGGGAGCGAGGTTTCCTGGAGGCTTATCCGCATGATTCGTGGCGTAGTCTTTCAGCAGCCTCCTTGCCGTAGGACACATTTTGGAGTTGCGATCAAGCCAGTGCTGGGTCTGCTGTTTTGCCACATCAGGGCGGAATCCGGACCCATCGCCCTCGTCGGAACCTGGATAGACCCCATCATCGTCAAATAGAACGTCAAACCAAAATGACATCTTGTTCCTATCGTGCTTCGCTGTCCAGTTGTGAGCCTGCTGCAACGAAGTGACGAGGAGTTTTTTGTCTACTCATTGTCAGTTTTACTTTATACGACAAGATTGGATCGCCCTGGTGTCCTTACAATGCTCAGTCACTTCCGCGAGCTTATTCCTCTGGGCTTCATCCAAAATCTCGCCGTCATATCCTTTACTAGTGACGTTGACGCATAAAATAATAGTCTGATATACCATCTGATCAAAGTGTACGGCAGCACAGATATCCTGGGGGACCTCAGGTTCGGCGTTGACCAGCAGATTACGTGCTATGTGCATCAATTTGATCAACGTGGTGAGGTCTTCTTTGATCGTGCCGTGGTTTAGGACGATAAGTCCTGTGCTCTCTTGAGGGCTCACGCCCTTCTCTGGGTCGTTCAAACTCGAAAGTGGCCCGACAGACCTGGTAGTCAAGCTAGGGATGGCAGCCGCGAATATCCTAGTCAGCCATATCCAGATGGCGACGTTTCGAGAAAGCGCCTCCCTAGATTTCCTGCAGGTGTGTGTCTTCTCCAAGGTCTTGGAAACCATTGAGGCCACCTTTACCGAGGTTAGAGGGCCCATAGGAGGAGACTGGGTAAAATGGCCTTCAAGGCAAACAAGCGCGGCCGAGAAGCATCGTTCCTCGATGGTCTCACTTGAAGATTCATCATCCTGCAGTTCCGGCGGTACTTGGGACAGCGGATCTGATTCTGGCGGCCGTGGAACGCTAGCTTCTGCATCCATGTTGATATGCTGGCTCTTGGGCTGGCTGATATCCCGTCAAATCCCCGATGGCCAATATTCCAGTCAAGTCGATAACCCTCGGCTGCCTTCAAATGTTGGTGAAGCTCGGCAGAAGTCTGTTGAAAATTGGGCCACACAAGAGAAAAAATATGTAAGTGGCGGGGCTCCCCGACCGTAGCCGTGTGTTGACTGCTGGCAGTGAGCTTTGGTAAGCAAATTTGTCAATGCCGCGGGTTTCCCTTTCCCCCGTAAAAGAGAGCAAGAAATAAATGAGTACCAGAGAGAAAGCCCGTTCCTGGGAATAGAATGGGCATTCGAGCTAGATATCTGCGCATCTTGATAGGTATAATTGTACCTGCAGCCTCTTTGTTGCACCAAATATTCACAGGCTGCTTAAGTAATCAATTCCAGATTGCCCCACCTTTAAACCTCGCTAGGCGATAGGGCAGTCGTAATTGTTCAGGCTGCCTGTAGCACCTGGCGACCTGTTATTATTACCCCGCCATCAGACTTCATGACAGACGAGGGGCAATTCGTCTCTGCCGCAGCACGTTCAGATGCTACGTTTGGATACCACATATTTGCCCCAAGAGGAAAATCTCTGTCCCCATCGATATTGAAATCCTGTAGAGCCATCTCACACTCGAATTGGGTTGGGTTCCCCCCTGCTTTACTTAGATATGGAGCACGCTGCGTGCGGTGAAAAAATCTTGTCATTGGCGGTTTTAAAAAAAAACCGGGAGCTGTAGAATGCCGCATTATTAATTGATGCCAGAGAACAACACGGAGATCCGCTCGTGAGATTAGAGCCCAACCCGTTCTAGCCAATTAAAGCTCTTCTAGTTGGTTGGACCTCCACGCTCTCGCGTCATTTCTGTCCCGGAGCTCCCTTCCTTATCCTTACATTGGGGTAGCGATAGATCAAGCGTTTTCTGAACCATTTGTGATCACAGAGTATTAGATCATTTGCCTTTGGTGAGTCGGTCTCAGCGAGTGCTCCCCAGCTCATCAGTGGGCAGTGAGATTAGTTGCCAGTCTCGCTAACGGTTCTCTCAGAAGTGTCTTCGTTCATCCACAATGTCTTCCCTTCCTACCACTTTTGACAGTATGTCTTGAGCCTTCTCTCTCCTCCCTATGGCCTTGTTATTTCTGTGAAGAGTTCTCCCTCCTGTGAGAATTACCACGGAAAAAGAAAGGAGAAGAGTTTCACAGGTACATGTACTGAGAGTTCACGATAGAGCCCGTCTCCATCGCCGTCATTGGCGGCACTGGTCTTGGCCAACTCGAGGGCTATGAGCCTATTGCTGTCCTCAACCCCGTCACGCCCTGGGGTTCGCCCGCATCGCCAATTCAGATTCTGGCTCACAACGGAACTCACATTGCCTTCCTCGCCCGCCACGGTGTTCAC